ATATTACCTAAGGAATTCTGTCTACAGGTTATGAAATATTAAATATTCTCATTTAATCATAGACTCATGAATACAAACTAGACTGGGGACAGGTTAAGATGAGCCAGGAAGCAAGGGACAGACAGATCCTAATGTGAACTGAGTTTGTATCTTTCCAAGTTTGTTTTGAAAATTGGGACTTCCTGTATTGGGAGCAAAAGGGTATCAGAACACATGCAAATAAGAACTGAAGGGTCTGCTGTTCCCCATGTTTACAAATGATCAATGATAGAGATTAAAATTTTGAAAATTCTGAAAATGCATTTGGTAGTACAATATTATAACCTAAGCTTTCCTTTCATTAGTAATACCATACCATATCAGGGAGCACAATAGCTCATAAATCTATTTCAGGGAATCAGTGTGATGATTTGTTAATGAAAATCAAGTAGAATTAATTTGGAAGCTGCCATCAGTGTCAGTTGTGGATACTGTTTAATTGGCCCAACTGTTTAATTTGGAATTAAACTTGTAATTGTTAAATTTTACTTTGAACATCTTTGCCAAGGTGCAATATGCACAACCTCGATACGATTTTCCGGACAACAATGACCTCTCTTCCATCATAGCCCCCTAGATATAAGGTACTCAGGCATGCATTGAACTCCACTAGGTTAATCATATGATGATCATTACTCTTTTCAATATTACATTAATCTCCATGTTTTCTATCAGTTCTGACTGCTGCTTATGTTTCTCAATACCACAGAGTGTTTTTGATGGCTTATATTATCCTGATCACCAAGAAGTATGATCTAAAGGGATACATACCAGAATTATTAAAATAGCCTATGCCATCCATTGATTGTTGCTGTAGTTAATTGAATATTTGATGATTTAAAGGTGCTCTGGTTATGTGATAAGCTACATAGTCATCACCAGGCAGATGATCTGTGCATGGTGTCTCTGCCACTACATGGGACGGCAGCCTGTGCTGTCAGATGCATAGAGCAGGCACTTGTGAGCACTCCACACCAACTCAGCACCTGTCCCATTATGTCCACCTCCCTTCGCTGGCCCTCAGAGGACTACATCCGTGCCTAGCACAAGAGGACTTCCCCGGGGCCAGGAGTGGGAAGAGTCTCTCCTGTGCTTCATCCTTGTATAGATTGCCTTCTGCTCTCAGAAAAGGGGGAGGAGAGGGAAAGTGTGAAAAGACGCTGCAGCTCTGAGTTGGCGAACTTAGGTTTTGTGGACTATCTGAATCTTGTAGGGTGGATTTACAAAGCAGAGGAGGTGGCTCTGGAACTAATCAGCAGTATGGTAACTCGACAGGTATCAGTTCTAATCCTAGTGCGACCTCTAATTCTTTCAGTCCGTCTTTCTTGTACCCACCCTCCCCCCGCCGTGTGAGTGAGTCCTGCAGAATGACTGGAAAGGGGGGTGGGGAGTGCAAGAGGACAAAATGCAGCCCTGGGCTTAAGTTTGCTTCAGTTTGCAAAGCCCTGGAGTGGTGCTTCCAGGCGCTGGGAGACTGAAGTGGCCTCAGGTGGCCCCACCATCGCCAAGGGGCTCAGAGATTAAGTGGCCTCAGGTGGGCCCACCACTTCTCAGCCACGTCAGATTCCTAGCCTCTCACTCCCCTGTGGAGTGGGGATTACAGTGAAGACCCCAGCGGCTGGGAGATTCTGTCTGTGGACCTGGTAGGTACCTTTTCCCTGGCCTTTAAATGAGATGCCATGTTCCTTATTGTCTGTTTGCCTTATGAATGTTGTCTCCTCCATTTTCTGGGAGTCTTCAAGGCAGGAGGGATGCTGTCTTCAGTCGGTAAATCCTCTCCCGCCCCCCCTCGGCACCGTCCTGAGCACAGTGGGAGCTCAATCAGGGTTTGTTGTCTGAAGAAGTAAAGGGGAGATCTGATGAATAGGCAGACTGTGAATGAATAAGATCCTATTACCCTTGTCAGGACTACCTTACAATGTGTGTCCCAGTGGGACTCTAATTGTTTGTTTTCCTGTCCCATCTAGACATTTAACTTGGAGAGAAAGAGGCCAAGTCTCCTACTTATTTGTCTTACCAACCCCCATGTCCAGCACTGTTCTAGTCATGTAGGAAATGTTTGCTGGTTAATTAAGAAGCACTTGCAGCTCCAATTGAGTTGTCTGCAGAGAAACCAGCTGTAGGACTAGGCTACATGAATTTATGGAACTAGTGCCTTTGTGAGAATGTTAGGCTCCAGTAATTGCCTTAAAAAACAAAGGAAAGAAAAATATCCCAACATTGGGTGTAGATACATGTTGATGCATCTGCTTTTGTTTTTGAGACCTGCGCATTACCAACCCTGAGCTTTATTATTACATTTACTACAAACCCTCCAAGTCCACAACTTTTTCTTGTTGCACAGTATTTCCTCCCATAAAGAAATGGATATTTGTACTTCCAGGTGTAGGGATGATATTTACGGTTGGTAAGGACCAGAAGAGTTGACTTTTAATAATAGAGGTAAAAAGAATAGCAGGCCAAGGGCAAAAAACTTGATTCATGTGGGGTTTTGTGGATTACAAAGCACATTAATATCTCTTATTTCATTTTGATGATCATAGAAACCCCATGATATTTGCAAGGGATTATTATTTTATTATGTTTTATTTTACGGTTGGAAAGACTGGAACTCTGAGGGGATAAAGTTGCAAAAATCTTTTCCCAAATGGTAAAGACTCCCATTCAAGTCTTTTGACCCAGACACAAATGGTTTTGGTGTTTGTGAATATTGTTCATACTTTTTCCTCTTTAATTTCAAAATTAATATCGGTCAGTTTATATGTAGAAATAGTTAGCCTAGATACTCTACACTAAAACAACAAGGATATTGAGGATTTTGACCTTTGTGTCTGGGAAAGGTATTTGTTAGAAGTTCAAGATTTGTCTTGGAAAATCCATTTATGAGAGCTGTGAGCAATGGAATGAGATTTCCATTGCTGTTAAGAATTACCAGTTGAGGGCTGGGATGTAGCTCAGTGGCAAAGCGCTTACCTAGCAACTGCAACGTCCTGGGTTCGATCCCCAGTACCAAAAAAGAAAAGTCGAAAAAAATACAGTTAAAAAAAAAAAGAATTACCAGTTGAGTTCTATGACCCTGTAACATGTTAAGCCAGCATTTCTTGGTGTGTGTCCTACAAACAGACATCCTATGGAATAGCAATAGTTCATTGAAAACCCCTAAAAGAAAAATGCAAGAATGCAAGGATGAAATAAACTAGGAATGTGGTCATGTTAGAATGAGGCAGGTGTGTAATAACCTTTGATTTGAATTGTAGGTCATAAAGGGGGATGTGGATTGCAGCATTTCCCACATTTATTTGGACATACACCCTTTCATTTGGCACAGATAGTATACATGAGATGATTTCCTTTGTAGCACTTACCAAAGTAGCATTTTGGCAGAAATTGTATCCCTTTTTGTTTCCCAATGTATCTCTACATACTTCCAACTTAGTTCATAGCACTGAGCCTTCAAAAATATTTGTTAAGAGAATGAGTTGAATTGTGCTAGGCGAACCCATCTGTGTTCCCGATCTGAAACCTGTGATTTTAGATTCTTTACAATGTGTTTCCAGCCATTTTTCAGCTTATTCTTATATTGTTTCTTCTACCCTGTATTAGAGGATTATTGTTACTAGAAGGGTGACTCTAAAATTATTGTTATGCATGTTAAGATATTTCTGAAGATGAAATGGGTGTTATTAATAATTACATCATGATAATAAGTATAACCTGATATTTTACTGCATAATCCAGGATGGATCGCCCCTTGTTCTTGGTGACAATGGCTTAGCCTGTTACTCTTACTTGGGATTTTGTGCTTCCTGGAGTAGGGACTCTTACTTATGTAGAGGCAATCCAACAAGTGCTCTTTGAAATTAATATATCTACAATAGTGATATTGAGAGTTGAAACTTGCTGCATTTTAATCCAATTTTAAGATTGAGGAAATCTGATGCCATAGTCTATCATTATTCATTTCATCAAATGTTATTGAGTGAGATCCAAGTCCTACCTTACTGTACTAAATTTCCTTTACATGATGCTAGGGACATGTAGAGCATGTAGCTTGCAGGACTGACCTTTCATCTCCCAAAGCCCTAAATGAGTGAGACCCACTGTAATCCTTGGCAAATGAAAAGGGAAACAAGTGATCAGAATATAACCCTGAAGAGAGTGAACGTGTGAAAGGGAGAGCTAGGAATGGCTAGAGGATGAGCCTAACCTGCACAAGTAACACAGCAATCAGTAGACATTACTCCAGGCAATTGTCCTACTCCCAAGCGCATCATACACTGTGGTATATCTGGTACTTACATTGGTTTTTGGTTTCTTGCTTTCACTAATACTGGAGCCCCTACATTAAAAGGGTCATGTATTTGACATGGGGTAAGCTCTCAGTGTGTTTCTCCTAGTGACTTGAATTTTGATTGATTACCAAAGTGTCACACAGGGAAAGAGAGCTCATGGTATTCACATGGTGTATGTCTGAGATTCTAAGTGCCAAAACAAGCCTGCAGTTCATACAGGTCAGCCTTTGTGTTTTGGAAAAAAATGTCAGGCATCAGGTTAGATTCTCAACTTCAGGGAGGAATCAATTTAACAGTAGAGGTGTTTTATATAGGCCTCATCATTAAGACGCACAATATATAATCCCATGTCTGAGGGTTGCAAATACATTAAGAATCATCTGATCAAGCTCTCTCTTTGGGTAAATGAGCAAAAAGAAGCCTGGAGGGAGAAAGGATGGCTCAATGTCCCACAGCAAATCAGTGACAGAACTTTCTGTACCTTGCAATGCTTCATTAAAATAAAACAAAATTGGCCATTTACAAATCTTGCTGTTTCGTATTATTAGGAAAAAATGTGGTACCTAGTTTTTTTCTTGATTTACAATTTGTCTCCTACAGAGTAAACTATTATGTAGTAAATTTTGCTGAAAATGCCTAAATTATATGTATTTTTTCTGTTTATTTTAGGTAAGCCTTCCCAGTGATCCAAGCTGTGTTGAGGAAATCTTGCGGGTGAGTTTAAACTTTTATTTTCATGCCTTTTAATAATGAAGCAATCTATCTGGTTAAGCTGTTGAAAGCAATTACTGTTCGGTTTCAAGGAGTATTATGATAAGGAATCTCGGCATTCCACTTCAGCACCCTTCTGATTATACTACCTGTCTCATTACTTACCTGTCGTCTCTCCAGGCTCTATCTAGTGTTAGTGAAAATTCTGTGCATTTCTGCATACATCTACGTATTCCTTTAGAGATGTGGACAAAGGTTTCCTTAGGAAACCTTCCCCATTCAAGCATTATACCCTAAATCTTTACCTTTCTGCTTTCTGGGATGGCAGTGGACCCTTACTGCTGCCACTCTGGACACTCCCTGTGGATGAGATGTGGTTATGGAGATTGTCACCTCTGATGAGGGGTGGAATGTGGGAGATGAGAAGAAATGGAAGCAAGAAAGACTGGCAAGTCGTGGCATGTTATGGGCAATGCTACTTATAAGAGTGGGAATGATATGGTGGGAAAAAAAAAACAAAATTAAAAAGCAGGAGCAAGCAAAGAAAATGTTTACACTTACTATGCCTGGCAATTGGTATCAGAAGGCAACAGGGTATCTCAGAAAGAGGAGTCATAGGAGTTAAGTTCCTGTCCTCTCTTTACCATTTGTCACTTCTGTGACTTTGTGCAGATGAGTCCAACGGTCTGACTCTAGTTCACTTGTCTGTGAAAGAAGATTCTAATACTCTAATTCTTGTATAAGCTGCCAAGTAGTATATAAATACTTGTTATTATGATAAATGATGGCCAGTGTAACCATGTGGAAAGCATGCAGGCTTTTCCATTTGGACAAGAAAACAATCTGTGTGCCAGTGAAAATTCAGCAACCCCTTTCTTCATACACCAAAGCCACTCCAACTCCTCTTAGAGTTCCTGCCCCTAGGGAAAAGCCTCTTCAGCAACCCAGTGTTTCAAGCAAGCCCAGTGAAAATGCAGCCAAAAGAGAATAGAAAACAGCAGAAAGCTGTTTACAATCAAGGTAGCCTGGAATTCCCCCTCATGACTGTCCCTGCCCAAGGACCTTGCTACTGGCCATCAGAGAGCTGAATCATCCACGTCTACTCAGCGATGAGACTCTATGGATTAAGGCAATGCTGGCCATGTTTTGTAAGATAAGAGTCCAGCAATCCTTTAGTGATCTGTCCCCAGGGCTGTGAGTTCTGAATGGAGATAAGGCAGCAGTTGTGAACTCTGCACAAGTGTGATGCACCCTAGGAACTCAGCCACTTGCTCCCTCCTCTTGAGGGCACTCAGGAAAAAATATGCTGAATTCTTGCTTCCTGTCAGCCACCATTTAAAGGCGAGAAACCTTGAAAGAAATGTCTTACTCTAGTCTAGACAGTAACCTTGTTTTCCCACTCTCTCCCCTGGGTCACAGGCATAAAAGAAGTCAGTCAGTCAAGTCTTTTTCATAACTTTCAAAGGACTGTACCATACCAATCTTCTCACAATTGAGTTCTCTACTGAAGAGCAGCCTCCCCTCACGACTTCCTAGGTGGTTCACACAGTGACTGTGGGAGAAGGACAGTGAACACATGTCCGAGGCTGGCCACGTAGAGAAAACCAATTTTCACTTAAACATGGAAAGGCAGGTTGCCTTAGTTAGTTCAGAAAAGATAGTACCCTTGAGAAAGGAACGAAAGTACTTTTGCTGGCTTCAGAAGAGAAAGAACCTAAGGAAATGTCGTTTGGGGGGAAGGGTTATAGATAGTATAAATTCTTTTGATGAATGGGCTTTTCTTTGTTGGAGAATAGAATGTTTCTGTTGTATTCCTTGTATATACGTGGAATAAAATAAGCTGTCTGGAGTTTCTGTCCCCAAATTTATGATGAATTCTCCAATTTTTGTAGAGTGTATTCCATGTCACAATGGAGTCCTCTTATTGGCGTCTCCTGCCTGCTTTTTTTTGTCTTTTTTAAATGATTTTTTTATTGTAAAAATGCTGTACAGAGGGATTACAGTTACATGAGCAAGGTAATGAGTACATTTCCTATCGAGCATTGTTACCTCCTCCTTTGTTTTTCCCCAACCTCCCCAACTCCTTCCGCCCACCAAAGTTGTAAAGTTCGTTTTCAGCATAGTGCTTGTATATCTTATTGTTACAATGGGCCAACCTGTATCCCTATTTAAGCATTTTGTTATTTCCTTTCCCTTCCCCAAATTAGAAAAATGTATATTCAAGATGCAGGGCACTGGAATCAAATACAGTGAAAACAGGGGTTATACCGTGGGGTGAGGGGGAACATACAAAGAAACAAAAAAATCACATAGGATAGTGTAAATACGTTAAAAACAATAGCAAGAAAGAAAAACTCGCTTGTGTCTTTATGTTGGGGTTCATTTTGCTTAACATCATCTTATATGGTCATATGTACATAATTTTTTACCTTTTCTGCTGGTCCTAGACATATACTAGTTATTCTACCACACCCCAGTTAGAATGCCTATAGTCAAGAACTCTAATAACAACAGATGCTGGAGGGGATGTGGCCAAAAGAGAACCCTTTTACATTGTTGGTGGGAGTGTAAACTTGTTCAGTCACTCTGGAAAGTAGTATGGAGGTTCCTCAAAAGACTCCACATAGGCCTCCCCTTGACCCAGCAATCCCACTTTTGGGCATTTACCCAAATGATCACAAACAAGACCATAGTAAAGCTACCAGTACAACTATGTTGATTGCAGCATTATTTACCATAGCTAAGATACGGAACCAACCCAGATGCCCCTTAGTAGATGAATGGATCAAGAAAATATGATATATGTGTGCATATATATATATATACATACATACACACACACACACACACACACACACACACACACACACACACACACACACACAATGGAATTCTATGCCTCTATCAGAAAGAGTGATACTACCCCATTTGTTAAGAAATGGAAAGACTTTGAAAAAATTATATTAAGTGGAGTAAGCCTGGCCCAAAGAAACATAGGTCCCATGGTTTCCTCCCTGCTTTTTAATCACATGCTTATGTCTGTGAGTTTGAAGGCCTTGGAGGACTGGGGACAGTTGAAAAGTATGTCCATTAATCATTTCCTATTTGCCTCCTTTTAGAGGAAAGTCCTTTTTCTCTTTTGCTTTTCCTCCCTCTAAGCTCCTAAGTGCATTTCTCCCAGCAGATTCTCAAGCACAATCCCCACTCCTCACTGACAGGGAGCTCTGGGGAGAGAGAAAGATCTGGCTTCTGAAATGAACTAACTTCTAGCAGTGTGGTTGTTAAGTCTTTTCCTCTAAAAACCAAGGCCTGCTTACCTTTCCCCAGACCCATAGCACATTCTCTACCTCTGGTAAAGGAATCTTTGAACTGTATATATTATTTGCATATACACATATACATGGAAATCTTAACTACTGTTTGCCTCCCAACTTTCCAACCCTGTTCCCTCCAACTGTTCTTGCCAGACAAGCACATGCAAACGCACTTCATCATACCCTGGGACAGATTATTATTAACCAAGTACAACATGAATTGTATAGCCTCTACTGCCAGTCCCTCCATCCTCCAATGGAAATAATTTGGTCTCATGTATGTTATTTGGGTTCTATTTCTCAAATATGCCATTCAAATTCTTACCAGTTGGCTTTCATTGATGGTGCCTCTCAACAACTCCACTTCTGCCCAGGACTTCACTTCTTCTCTCTGATCCGGGCTCTTGAAATATACTGGTGCTCACCTGGCCTCTTCCTTCAGCAGTTGCTTCCTGTCTTCATGCCTTTGCAAGCTCAATCACACTACAATAAGCTAACTTGATCTAATAGGAAGCCTTATTTTCATTTTCCTAGAGCAGGTGATTATTCTCAGCATCTCACCATCATTGTATTATTTTAATTATAAGAACTGAGATAACTATTTTATTAGTTCAGCTTATCAAGGTCCAGAGAAGTTAAATGCTTTTCAAACAAGAGTAGAGCTAGCACGTGCAGATGTAGAATAGGACATGGGCTTTGTTTTCTAAGTCTGAGAGACTTTGCACAATACTCAGCTGTCAATCAGCCTACCCAAAACCCACATTGAGAATTGCTTGATTTATACCATTTGATTCAGACAACGGCTGACATTTCTAGCAACTTGAAGAAAACTAACAGGCCAACATAATTGAAGCAGGTGTTACTAATAATTTTATTTTCCTTTCCTTGCCATGTTTTCATACTTTCAAGTCTCATTTAAAATCTAAAGACATCAACAGTAAATTCAGTACAAATGACAGAAGAAATAATAGATAATCGTAATGTGCCACCTGCTGTATTTCAGATATAACTATGTCATCATATATGTCCTTGAATCTTTTCCACAGTCTCAGTGACTGTATAGTCAGTCATACTTTGCACATGGAGTGAAAGCTAGAGCACTGAAGCAATTCGCCCCAGGTCACTGGTCCCCACGTCTCTGAAAAACATTACGCTATTCATTGCTTCTGGTTCTATTGCCTAACTGGAATCTAACCTTATTTAACAGGTTCTAGCCATTTCATAATTAGTATTTTAATTGAATCAAGAAATAATTCATTTCAGTTGTAGTTATTTCCTCGATTTGTACAAATTCAGTCATGCCAATGTAATTTCAAGTATGTTTTTCTCCCCAATAAACCCAAACTTACCAGCCTCTGAGACCTTTTCCATCAAGTTGACCTCCCACACAACACACGGGGAAAACTCAGATGCCTCTGCTACTTGCCAAGCATATTATTGCTGATTATACATTTTGCAAATCAGAAACTTAAAGGCAGCAATCTGTGTGGCACAGCCCCGCTTGTGTGCTTGCTGCTGTCGGCATGTCATTTACTCTAGTGTCAAGCTACTCTCAAGTGCCAGCAGAAATAAAAATTAATAATAGCTCTGGCCCCAGTGATGGCATTTTGCTCTTGCAATTCATCTATCATACAAGGGATTCTGAGTCTGCTCATAGGAAATAATATGGGTAGCACTAGCAGCTTCCTT